CAATAAACGACCTCAACTCAATAATACAATCCAAAAAATTTATGTCTGATAGTGAGTGAGAAATGCGGCACGCTAACCTCTTTCAAGATTTTCATCGCGATTCGATCATCATCCACAACATGATAGAACAAACGATTGCCAGCCGTAACCTCAACCGCCGAGAAGTATACACTGTCACATTTGAACAGATCCAACAGGGTGCCTTAAAATGAAGCCATAAAAACACTTGTTAAATTCTCGATTAAATCAAAACATTCAATACGGAGCTCAACGCGAAAAAGAACGAAACTTCAGCATAACTCACCGTGATATCCATTCAAAATTGCGTCGTATTGCCCGTTACGATTGTGCTCTCGAAAGTGTTGCAGAACACGTCGCACACTATCAACTCCGTTCATAACCGACTGAAATGTACGAATCACTAACCAATAGTAACAATCCTCATGCAATCGATTGAAGCTTCTGCGTGAAAAAAAATCGATGAATACGCATTGCTTAATTAAAAATCCACAAAATAAGCAATAAAAGTCAAACCTTAGCGGTCATCTTCCGAAGATCTTGTTCGGCCTGTGCCACCTCCACTTTGATAGCCTCAACATTGTCACGAGCGCTTTTCTCATCACGAGCCGCCTCTCTGAAAACAATTCTCATATCGTTACAAGAACAAATCGCAATGCTAAGAATCACATCAACTTCTGAAAAACCATTCAAAAAACTTGATTCTTCAACGGAGAAGCTTCCGCTTAAAGTGTCAATTGAAACAACGCACTGTTGTCGGATAGCCGCTTGATCCAGCTGTCGACGTAAATCGGCCATTTTGTGATTGATGGTCGACATCTGATCAACGCACTCTTCGGCTCGAAGACCAAGTGCCTAAAACAAGTCGCATTCCGTTACGAATACCAAAATGATTTTCTGCACAAGAATCGGGAAATTTTTGTTTAAGATATAGCAAAAGTGCTGAATCTAGAGAGCACTTCTCGGCATCACCGGATGAAAAAGCTTCACAAACCATAATCTGCTGATTGAGTTGTTCCTCCTCTTGCTCTTCATCGTGCAAACTCCGTTCAATTTCGCCGATCTGGTCTTCTGTATCGGCCAACTGCCGATCGTAGAAACGAATCTCCTTGTTCAGCACCTTCAATGATGATTCTTTTGTGATCACGAACCCAAAAAACACTCATAACATGTCCACTCGATTATATGTTACATTTTAACCCTTCAAATTGTCAACAAACTCGACCAGAAAAATGACAATATTAACAGTGCCATGAGAGATTCGTCCACAGAAGTACTAACTCCCCAAATCATTTCTTTTATGAACGATTCTTTGCTACAAGTCCACTCCAATCCACAAACGAAATAATACCGATAAGGCAAATTCGACGAAATGTTAGAATATATGCAAATCTACACACAGAAAAATTCAAATCAGCGATTAAACTTTTAAAAAAATCAAAAATCGATTCATCAAACACACTTTATCACGCTCTTCGACTGTTTTATATTGGTCTTTATGGCCTTGTTTCGCGTACAACTCTTTGCATCGCTGTTCCGAAATTCGAATACTAAACAACACACCATTGTCATCATATTTCAAATAAAATTCTTTAAACAAGCAATCAAATTCCACAAGATATAGGTGAAAACGAACATTCAGAAGGAATAAATTTTCAAAATCAGTTAAGAAATCGCTCACTCAGTGCTAAGTTTTGCAGCATCTTCGACGAGCGCGTTATATTTTGGTGCAATATCGTTCAGCTCCTCTTCTTTTGCTTGGATATCCGCTTTCAGTTTATTCAGCACATCTTCCGCTTTATCCTAAACAATCGCTTTCTCTTCAACAAACCAACTAATCAAAAAAATATTTCGAGCGATATAACCAGAAACCTTCGAAAATTTTCCCAAATCACATTCATCATATTCATCTACAACAATTTATGAAAAGTGTGTAAATCCTGCAGAAATCATGCCACTCTCTTATGAATATGTCATTAACAACATTGAACGAATCACAGAAATTTCAACGAAACCGACCCTTCCTGACCGTTCTTTTTCAACATCTTCACGTAGATCCTTGATACGAAGTTCGAGTTCAGTTTTCTTTTGGAATCGCTCGGTCTGTTCACCGAGCAACGCCTCCTTCTCTTCGCGCATTCCCTTGAAACGGGCCTCGAGCTTGCGCTGCTCAGCTTGCGCTTTCAATGAGCTATTTTGTGCATTCAGCAAGTCATTTGTTACCTTAAATTCTTTCATTAACCCTCAATCTATTAAGGTTATGATAACACAGAATGTCAGAAATTTGAAACAATAAGAAATCCACTCTTTTCAATCGTTTCTTTGCTCATGTCAACCAATCCATCATAAAAACTGGATGCCCTACCTTGCTTTGTCTTGTGTTCAGCTCTTCTCGTTGTTCAGCTAGTTTATCCAGCTTTTTACGAGCCTCCTTCACTTCATTATCATATATCGTATACTCAATTGATCTGAAAACGCACAAATCATTAAGCTAAAACTTAAATACTAACCCATTTCAAACACCGTTCCACCGTTATACTTGATCTGGCCAACTCTGCATATGGAACAAATTCCCTCGAGATAAACTCATCAAATAATCATGATCAAAACCTTTTCATTTTATCCCATTTTTGATACTCTTTTAGATCTTCCTTCTCCTCTTCTAAAGTTTTCAAACGCTCCTCGATATAGGCCAACAACGCTTCAATTTTCTCGCTCTTCGCACCTAAAAATATAACTCTTCCAAACGCAATCCATCAAAATTTTTGAGTTTACTCCACTGACAATCCTCTTAAAATGAGTTTATACTCATGAAATTACAACAGAACAATTGACTATATGAACACTGATGGAAGCAATATCAGCCATCCAACACAATACTATTTCGTCAAAACAATCAAAAATTATCGCAAACGGATTACAATTTTCAACTAACAATAAGATATTTAAAAAAATTTTTTTTTTTAGATAACACTATCAAAAACGAGAAAAATTACAATAACAAAACGACGTACTCGTTTCACGAAGAATCTTTAAACTTTCCTCTTTGCGTTCATCATAGACACGAGTGCCAGCTACCTGTAACAAGAATCAAGTCTCTTATAATTCGATCACAATTTTCGACAAAAGGAATTCATTCAAATGAACACGAAACACCAAGAGTGATAACAACATCAATAATGCATATTAGATCAGACAAGTGATAATATTCGACATTCTGAATCAAACGAAATTCGAGAAATCGCATCAAGCACGAATCGTTCACCAACCTCTCTGAGCAATTTGAGTCGATGTGAATCAGGCGAAGTGGCCAGTTCGTTGATTTTTCCTTGCTTCACGATATAATAGGGATTCGAGCGCGAGAAGCCAGCAGACTCCATCAGGTTAACCACCTGAATGTTAACAATTTATTTAGACTTTATACAATACTATCCTAGCTAAGTTTTAATGCTATCATATTTCATGAAAACAATGGAGAACGTTTGTAATTCAAGATAGAATTCATAGGTCCAATTAGTATGGACTGTTATTGTTGGAGATATCATTCAGGCTGATTAGAAAATTACGAGAAGGAACAGCCTAAAAGCCATCATCCGATGAAACGAAGTAATCGAATCAGAGCAGGGAATGATATTTAATATCAAAGAAACTCACATCGCTTCTTGAGACGATCTTTGAATCGATAAAATATTGATCCTTCTTGAAGCTGACTTGGCGTCCTACACGTACCTCGTTGGCGTCCACCTGAATTTAACTCATGAAATAATTTATCTTTCTTTATCCAATTCGTCAACAAAGCATTAACCCTCCCACATTATCACCTATTTCCAATTTAGTCTTTCCTACTGAAGATAATTGATAAAGAAAATTGTTCGAATCAACAAAAACGAAAGTATTACCGCGACAATGCGTCTATCCATATTATCGAAAACGATCTCAACTCGGGCGGTTGAAACTTTTTCACCGGTTCCCTCATGAATGAGTCCTTGTCGATGATCTGAGCGCAAATGACTGAATTCGTCCGAAAGTACAAATTGAATCGCTGCAAAACAAGGTACACATTGAGCTGAACAACCGGAATTTGATTATGGCAATGGTTACATGTACTATTTACTGCGATATCACTCTTCAACTTATTACGATAAGTATCTCACAAGCGTTGAAAATCTATAAATCACCAAATAAAGATCGTCATTCGAATATAAAACGATGGAATTTG